CTACTGCATGTTGGTCTTGGATGTCCTACCACACATTGGTCAAATTGAGATATATATATATATATATATATGCTGTGTGTACATTATTTATGTATATATATCCATGTATTTATGCATATATAATGTATTTATAAGCCCTTCTCTTCCAATAATTTCCTCCATCGCATTAAGATAGACTATTCAGTTTATATCTGAGACAGTGCTATCTCTGCAAGTTCTATATATTGTTAGCATTCGCCTACTTTAAACATGTTAGCAATCACCTACTTTAAAGCCGATTGAACTTTTTTTTCTCCTACTTTTATTACATGATTTGGATGACGAATAGCTAAATTGATTTGACATCACATAGTTTTCTCTAAATCGACTAGGTCAAGGTAAATCAGAAGAGTATCTAAATTTAAAAATTTAAAAATTTAAAAAAAAAAATCACCTCAAAATTTGAGGACACGGTTACAGTAGATGGTTGACTGTTTCTAGAAACTTCTGGATCTGAAGAAATAACAGATCCCTTCAAAGCTTCCCTAAAAGCAAACAAAAGAACCTATGAGTGGAATGTAGAAAGGTAAAAATTGGGAATAGCATGCATTTGATGTCTTCTCCCATGCTACAGAAAATATCAATGTCCAATCAAACTCCATACCTCTCATTTATAATTTGCAGGATAGGATAAAATGGCCCAGCAAGCATCGCCAAAAATCGAATGTTGGAATCAGGAGTTTCTGTGAACGTAGTAAGCTCTGTCTGCATTAAAAGTATGCTCAAATACTAGGTCATAAATCACAATATTAAAAACTCGCCCATTATGCAACAACTATCGAAGAGCTATCACGCGTGTACCTCAAGTTGTGGAAGAAATACTAGCAGCCGGCCTGCTATATCTTGCAGCAACTATGAATACACAGAAAATTAGAAATAGCAGCATATCAAACATCATGAACTTGAACAAGAACACAAAAGCACAAGAGGATGAGATGGCGGTGTCATTAGAAGTACAGTTGCTGGCGAATGTGAGAACATGTGTATGAAAATTACCTGAAGATGCATATCATTAGCATCTTGTCTGTGTGATAAAATATGTGGTAGTACATAATTTATAACAGGTTGGAGCTCTGGCTCCAGTCCTTTGACAGATACGCCGATCAGCTGGCAGAAGATATTTAACAGCTCATATTGGTTAAACAGCAAGTTGAAAAGAGATGGACAATAAGAAATATTGCATGCATGAATAGATAAATTTCAGATATTCAATATAAAATTGCCTAATGAGATTATCACAACATTAATAACAGAAGAAACAGAAAATTCAGAATAAATAAACTCAAATAGCTCCACGAAATCAAATGATAATACATTACATGAGGGTTGCGTTGGAGCATTAAATGATGTAACTTGAAAATCAACAGCTGTGGTGAGAAAACATTGGAAGTGGGTTCTATGTAGAATAATAACCGCTATCTCAGATACTCAAGGTTGACATAAAGATGAGCTCCAGCACAAAGAGAAAAACAATATTTCATTCTTATAGCACCCTATGAAGGCAATCATTATCTGCCCTTGTGAAAAATATCTAAGAACCAATATTTTACAATGTTCTCTTTTTAGGCATCAAGCATCAATCAAAACAAACGTAGTCACTTAATGCTGCAACATCTTCAGAAAATTAAAATCACTGGATTTACAACAGACAAAGTGAATGCACAAAGTTGCATTCAATATTGAAGTCATGTTATCAAATTTAAGAAATGTTGTATACAGCTATCTAAAATACTCACACACGAATGCTTTGAACACGGTACATTAAAGGCCAACAATCAGGAATCCAAACAATGCACATGATTACAGAATTTAATGAGTGACCATCTTTATTTAGATTTTGAGAGCTCAATACCCATTGCACAGAAAACAAGTTCACTATATTATACTGAACAATGAAACAAAACTCTCGTCCAAAGACTAAACCTCTTGAAAGATTCATGAATATAGAAAAACTAAAAGAAAAATTGAGAAATAGTGCTAGATTCATTGTTGCTCTGCACTAACGGCTGCAATAGGCCATAAGATCAAGCAAACCGAAAAGTTACCTGAATAAAAAATACCGCTATAGGGTTCCCACGCAGACAAGATAAACGGACATAGCGGCATGGTGTGTAGTTTGTAGGATAACTCATATCACGCTTTGGAGCTTCGCATCGTGGACGAACCTTGACAAATGATTCAGGCTGCAGAAGAGAAAACTAGTTTCATTATTAATTAATAAAGATGAAACAATAAAGAAGAAGAATCTATCATAAATACAGTAAATGTTTAAGGGAAATAAATAATTGTAAGTTGAGATTTAAAAAGGAATTTGAACAAATGTTTGAAAAAAAAAAAGAAGGAAAAAGGGCTAGTACCAAGGGCCAATAAAGTTATGTTTAGTGCGATACTTCAAGGCTGCCACAGCTGCTGTTAAATTAATTGAACCCTGCAAACCAGTGCACCCAGCTCATACATGCTACTGAGCCCTAGTAAGATGTTATGATACAATTGAATCCACAAACACTACAGAAGCAAAATGAAAGGTGGATAGGAGTATGAAACACAAGAAGAGGTTGCAACAACACGGGACATCCAAGGGGTTAGTGAGCTGACAATTAGTTAAAGACACGGTTGCTCTATTTTTCTTGCTTTCAAAATCTTGTAACTATAGATATAGCCTCGGTGGTAATAAGAAAGCAAAGAAATTTTCCCCCAATTCCATTATTTTCTTGTTTTCCAGCACTGTTAGAAGTCTGAATCCACTCGAACAATTCCAGTTTGATACTTTCTTTATCAGTTTTATCAACAGGTGCTCTCGTTCTTGATTCAATGAAGAATGCAGATCTAGCAGATGTGCCCGAGTGATTCACTCATAATAAGATTCAGAAAACAGAAATTCAAAGTTTAGCTCACCAAACAGAGGAGCAATTCTTGGCGCTCAACAAAACTTTGCAACAATTCCCATCTTTATGGAAGTGATGGATAAAATAATGGAGGATCTATCGCAAAAATTGATCAAGGCTTTCTCATTTGCAGAAAAAAATAAATGATTATAATCAGGTAATTCCGATTGGCAAAATAAATTCATCTGAATGGACATCAATAGTTATTACCATCGATGAGAATGATAAAGATATAACTTCCTCATTTTATCGAATCTGATATAAATACATGGCTGCCCAAAGGTAATGAATATACTGATTTCTTAATACTACTAAAGATCAAATAACATACATCACTTTTAGGGAAATTTACCTATATACCACACAAGTCCTATTTATTTACATATCTAACACCTAAGTTTAATATTTACATCTATAACGCTTTCATTGTATAAACATACGGATGAAAATATGAATTTCACTTTTAAGAAGTTACTAATAGTGGTATTTTTTATATAATTAAAAAGATTTAAGTGCTAACTATGTAAATATGAAAATTTAGGTGTTAGATAAATATATTACAATCGTGTGGTATGCATGTAAATGCCCCTTTTTTTAAATATTTGGAAGATGCAGCAGCCAAATGTTAGCAATGGTTGAACGTGAAGGGATAAATTTTAAAAAAGTTTTCTTCAGTCAGTACAAGCGATTCGGGCATCAAAGTACGAGGATTTACATGGAAATCTGCCCAAACTGTCTCAAGCAGGATCTATCTTGAAATTGCGAGCCCCTTTTAAGGAATTAGCTTATGTTTTGCCAAAATTTTCAGAATTTAGCAAGCTTCTTTATATCCAGTTTAAAATCACAGCTATGCAGATAACTTTTGATTGCAAAACAACTCTTCTTACTAAATGTGATGGAGCTGGTAAGCATGCATGAAACAAATTTTCAAAATTTGAGGAAGAAAAAAATACATCCATGGCTGCACAACAAACCAAAAAAATCTGAATTTTGACTGGAAAATGTCAATGGAGGCTTAGCAATCAGATGCGGTGCAAGTAAAAGAGAGTTAAGATGCAAAATTTTCTGCTACGAATTCTTCTTTGCACTGTAACATACCTGCATACAAGCTAACCCCAGCGAAAATACAGTTGAAAAGAAAAAAAAGCTGATGTTTTAATTGTGCTGGAAAGTATGGTCCCAATCACAAATGTCAATGTGAGTTTGAGTGGCTTCTAGGAATAGGGAAGCTCATAGGGAAAGTAGAGGACAATGATGAGTCTGTAGAGTATGCGGGAGAAGATTCAACAATAAAAATTAGTTAAATGTCTTAGTGGGTTGGTTAATTTTTTTTCTCCATATTTATTGGGAATCATTGATCAACTCGTTCATGTATTGATTGATGATGGGCAGTCACACGATTTCATACAAGAACATGTGGCTCAGCAATCGGACCTTACTATTTTAGCTATACAGCCATTCCAAGTCATCATTGGAAATGGTGATTAATTGCTATGTGAAACAAGGTGCTCAAATTTTATTAGTGATGCTTTGGTCTTATTTTGCATGACTACACATCTAAAAATGAAACTTTCATGGCTAGATGAACAGATTAATCTTTTGGCAAACATAGCATCGCTGCAGCTAGTATCTTTTCATCAACTACAAGTTTTAATTAATAAAAAGTTTATGCAATGTTGCTATCAAATTCAAGCTACAAATGAGGTACAAGAAAGGCTTCAAGATCATAGCGATTAGCTATCAACAGTGACTACTCAACTTCCATGTTCCATATCTTCCGCTTTGATTCAAATAAAAAAAGTGCTTAATATACCACAAACGTTACCACCATATCAAACAATTGATCAAAATATTCATCAGATGATGGGAGCTAAACCTTCGTGTGAAGCCATATAGATATCCTCATTTTCAAAAGAGTCAATTGAAAAAAATGTTCAAGGAGAACTGCAAAAATGGAATTATCTGCCCAAGTCTTGTCATTCTCGTCAAAAAGAGTGACAATAGCAAGCATTGTTGTGTGGTTTACAAGGCCTTGAATGTTATAAGCATAAAGGATAAGTTTCCCTGCTAACAAATGATGAGCTCCTGGATTTATTACATGGTGCAATGTTTTTTACCAAAAATTAGATTTGCAGTTTGTTCATCATAATATGGGGATGCATTAGAAAGAAATGCATAGGATGGCTTTCCACTCTCATAACAGCCATTTCAACAGCAGCCCGGTGATGGTGGTCCGGAACTGCAGCGATGGTCCGGCATTGGAAGCCTCACGACAGCGATCTGAGCGGTGGCCCCATGTCAGTCGGCTGATAGTGGTCTTATGACAGTAGCAGCCCAACGATGGTACTTCGGTACGGTGACAGTAGTTTAACAATGGCAACGACATTAGCTACGACAGCAGTCGCTCGAAATTGGTTGGGTGTCGGTGACCATATGGCGGCAACAGCACAGTGACGGGGGTCTCGCACAACGTTGATGGGCTGGCGATGAAGGCTTGATGGTGACGGCAATTGCCAGACGATGACGACGGTGGTGACTGTGTCGGTGGTCCGGTGATAGTGGAGGCAACAGTACAGCGTCAGTGGCTTTGGCACAGAGGCATTGGCTCGGCGTCGATCTGATGACAGTGGTTAGGTGTCAGTGGCCCTCTATGATAGTCCGGTGGTAGTGAAGCTCGAGAAATTTCAAAATCTTGGAGCTCCCTTCAATCTTCTCATCTCAGTACAGTTCCCCTTATATGAAGAAAGTGGGGGTTTATTTATATATTTTAAGAGTGACGTCCTCTGTAAATACTACATGAATTCAGGTCAGTCCATCAGATCGCCTAGAGTAATTTTCTTGATTGAATGTAGTTTTATGAGTATTTGAATGCATCAATAATATCGAAATTAAGCAAGCATAGGCTCATTGAATTTTTCTAATCAAGACGCTAGATTTGATTACAAGCTTATCATATTTGGAGATTATTTGGTCCCCGAAAATATATTTCAAAACTTATCTTTATACTTTAGGTGCATTATCTAGGCTCACTTGAACTTATATCAGATCATTTTTTATATCATTTAGTTTGTCTCAGTTTGACACCTTATTTAATCATAAATTAGAGGCATTTTCAAATTTAATTTTTAAAGCTTCACGTCCAAATATGCATCGATATTCATGTGGATCAATATGATTTTTTAAGAACGTATCAACACTCATGAAAGATATCATCGATAAACCACCGCCCCCATGTAATATACTACTTGCGGCTTGGGTATTATTCCTAGAGCTCAATTGCAAAATTTGTCTCACATAACTAAGCATCCTGAAAGGAATTATACATTGATGTTTTGTTCTTGAAAGTTTCAAATTTAAGTGGTATGACTAATTATTCATTGTATGATATTGTAATTTCCTAGCACTTGATATAATCAGCCATTATTCCCCATATATGAAGGGTCAAAGGATGAGCTCAACACATCCTGATATAGTTGTGTCACATTATTCATAGGTCTTTTTGACACAAAATAATTTGCATAGCTTCTCTCTCTAGTTTTCTTTAGCTTTATTTTTTTAAAAGATCAAATTGTAAGTGTCAAAAAAAGACCTAGACTCACATACAAATACATTTGCCTTTAACATCCTAAAAAGTATTGTGAACATCAATGGTGCCTAAGAGAAGAAGCCAAGTCATGAAATACATCGATGATAAAGAGTTCCACACAAGTTGAACTAGAAGATAGCATAAAAGTCAAACAGTTCAATCAAATGGAAGATTATTTGAAAAAAATGTTTCAGCTTCTCAAACAATTTCTGTTAACTGCTCCTTATATCGAGTCCCCTTAAGAGTAGAGAACCACATATGGTATTACTCACTAGCTTTACCTAAGCGTTAGAGATCTTATTTCAATTACAATAGACAAAACTTATCTCATAGAAGAAAGAACAGCCAAAACATCATTCCCACTTGTTCCATTCCCTCTTGTTCCACGAAGCACTGATTTGACCTAACAATGCTTTTTAAGTTCAGCACTAAGAGGCTCAACCTTCCCATGTTCAAAATCCCAAAACTAACTTACAAAAGAAAGTCATCGAACAATATTGCTTAATTTGAGCTGGTGGCCTTTCTTATCAATATTAATGATGCACTTAAGTGTTGATTATTCTTTAATACTTTCAAAAGGATGTCACTAAGATAAACCTTGGGTCTCCTCCTGAAGAGTATTTCTTCATGCTCCAATTTCATTCAAACATTTATAAATTAATTTGCTACTGCCTAAAAACATTGAAAATTTCAAAAATTCTTTTGAGCATGG